CGCCCTGCGGGAGGGAGGGAGGGAGAGGGAGGAGGAGGAAGGGAGCGCATGCGTGCTAGGGCCGCTGCCACCCGGCTGTGCCTGCGCGAGCGCTCAGCCGCTGTTCCCCGCAGGTGCGGTGCCTCTGGGGGGATACTGGGGCCAAAGCGGTGGGAGCATCAGCTCTTACACAGCTCTTCTCTCTGCTAGGCTGGTGGTAAAGCTGGGAAAGACTCTGGGAAGACCAAGACTAAAGCAGTGTCCCGTTCTCAGCGGGCTGGATTGCAGGTGAGCAGGGACTGGGGTCATGGGTGAATGGAAGTAAGCTTGGTTTTCCACCTCTTGGTTGGTTGTACAGTGTGAAACCTGTGTAGTCTGCCTTGTTACATCTTCTTTGTTGTCCAGAATGGTGTAAGGATCTGTTTGATCCTCAAATACGTTAGTGCCTAGCTTGACTATTTTTAGAGCTTTTGCGTATCTATGCAAGAGGGGAGAGAATTGCCTTGTGGCTGTTGCTACTGCTTGTGGTTAGAATTGTGAAGTTGCTGGTGTGAACTTGGCATACAGTGTCCTTAGCTGGATTCTCAAGTGTTGAAATGTAGTCTGCACTTCTGCTACTGGGATTTTGTTGCCCAGCACATGGTTTAGAGTAGTGGGTTTCTTTTCCTGTCTTTGTGGTCACAGCCTATTCATACTTGTGTTATTTTCCAGTTTCCTGTTGGCCGCATCCACAGGCACTTGAAGTCTAGGACTACCAGCCATGGGCGTGTAGGGGCCACAGCCGCTGTGTATAGCGCTGCAATCCTGGAGTACTTGACAGCTGAGGTAAAGCTTCTGAAAGGAGTGCAAGCAAGTTAGTCAACTCAAAATGGTGTAATGACCAGAGCCTGCTGCATTTTGCCAGTTTGGACTGAACTGTGAACTCTTCACTTACTTTGAGCCACTTTTAAGTGCATGCATCATCAGGAGAACATGAAATATGCATGGAGCCTTTTGTTCTGCACTTTGTGCAGCTCAAATTTCTGTGACTAGGAGGAAAGATGGAATTCTGAAGTATTTTATAAAATGTGCCATTACAGCATGTTGTATCTGGTGTAAAGCACTACTCTGTTCTTGAGGAAAACTAAATACAGAACTCCAAAGGAGGAACCCTTTCAGAAGAAGCATTGTTTGCTGTTTTGGTGTTGCTAATAGTATATTTGGCATAGAGAATAAAATAGCTGAGGTCTCACTTGATTTGTGCAACTCAGTTTGGAAATGGTCTTGTCCTCAGGTTCTTGAGCTGGCAGGAAATGCATCCAAAGACTTGAAGGTGAAACGTATCACTCCCCGTCACCTGCAGCTTGCAATTAGAGGAGATGAAGAGTTGGACTCTCTCATTAAGGCAACAATTGCTGGTGGTGGTATGTAAACTGCTTGTTAACTGTTTGTAATGGTCAACTGATTGTTGAAGAGAAATAACATGGTCTTAACTGTTTCTCTTTCTTAGGTGTAATACCGCATATCCACAAGTCTCTCATTGGGAAGAAAGGACAACAGAAGACTGTCTAAAGGCTACTAGGATCCCGTGTTATCTCAGGACTTTAAGTACTTAATTGTCCAGTGTTGGTGATTCCAGTGGACTGTATCTGTGAAACACAATTTTGCCTTTTTGTAATTCTGAGATGCTAAAGCTCCCTTGAGCTTTCTAACAAACCAAATTTCTGCATTGAAGTCTTAACCGTATTTAAGTGTTACCATGGCTTCAAAGAAGCTATTGTATTTGTAGTGGGTTTTGATTGAGCTGACTGTTCTTAGATTGGCTTAAGTAAAGGAAATGTTTGGTTTTGTACAGACTTTTCATCCACTAGAGTGGAAATATTCAATAAATGTAATATCAAGACTGATGGTCTCTTGTCCCCTAACTGAAAAATGCTTTGTATAGACTAGGCAGCTCTCTAAGAGTTGTTCCAAGAACATGCAACAATCTTACAGCTGGCTGTACGTATCTGGAAACACAGTCCTAGGATACTGCAGATGGTAAATACCAACAAGTGAAGTGGCACAGGAGTTTTTTCCTGCAGAGGTACATTCTTGCCGAGTGAGCCTCCTGTGTAGCCACAGCTGCCTGCAGCAGGATGTGTGTAAGGCTGGTGCTGTATAAGGCAGGCTGTGCTTGGTATCAGCCTTCACAGAGGAAAGGGGTCTGGCATGGAGGAGAAGGGTAAGCTGAATGGATGTTGAACATCCACAACTTCAGTTGATTTTTTTTTTTGTGGTAGTGCCTGACCCTGTTTGCTGTGTCTTATGAGAGACTGGAGGGACATCTGTAACAGCAGGGGCTGTACTGCAGCAGCCTCCGTGGGCTGAGGAATGGTCTAACACCGGCCTCCAAGGTTGCAGTCAAACAGCTCTGTCTTGATGTGCCTTTTTCACGGATGGGCTTTACCTCTGCTGGCTGTAGAGATCTGAATTGGAAAGCGCTTGCTTTTTGTTAGTCTGTGGCCATGAGGGCTCAGACTACACCATTTGAGTTTAAGGATGGAGCATTAAAGTTACGGTTTTAACTTATGCCTCAAGGTAGCATGCTCACAGCAGCAGATTAACAGGTTCTGGGTGATCTCCTTTAGCTGTTTCTCCAGCTTCTTGTAGAAGGCCTGCCTGCTGCTGGGGCAAGGGAAACATCCTTTGGGTGAGGCAAAGACTGGGGCTGGGGGAGGCAAGCTCCAGGCCTTTGACAATTGTTCCTCCAGCAGTGAAATACCTCAAATAGAGATGCCTCTGCCCTGACCAGGCTATTCTGTTTCAATAGCCTCTTCCAGTGATAATCTGCTGCAGTACTGTAGCTGGAAGGTGTTGACCCAGATTGCAGGTGTTGACAAGACCTACATTAGCTGCACTGTGGTGCTTCCCTGGAGCAGCACCCAGCAAAGCAGTTCTTGGCAGGGTACAATAAATGTTGCTAATTACAGCGAGCAGCTGTTACAAGATGCATGGCAAAGAATGACAACGTCTGGGCTCCTCTTCCTTCCATACGGGTCCAGGAAGGCTGC